TTTCGATCGGATGTATTTCAGTTTCAGATCTAGTTCGGTTCGGATATATTTTGGTTTCGGATATATTTCGATCGAGTGGACTACAAATTATGAAACAAATATATTTTATGATGATATAAGTTTAATAGCATAATATTGATTTTAAAATTTAGTTTTGATACATTAAAATTTTATCACATCAAATAATATCATTAGGTTTATCTTTATAAATAAAAAGATAAAAGATAAATTCAAATCGTATTAATATTGTGTTACACTCTAACTAAATTTTAATTTTTATCCCGTGCTTCGCACGGACTCGCATACTTTTTTATAAGTATAGCTATAAAATTGTTTCTCCGTATTATATTAAAAAATAAAACTCACATTAAATAAATAAGAGAATAACTCTTTAAGTTATTCAATCAAAATTTCTATTATTGATGGAATATATAAATACTCCCTCCGTCCCATAAAGTGTTACCCATTTTGACTAAAGTAGAAATTAAGAGAGAGATAATTTTGTGTTGACTTTCCAAAAATACCCTTGATGTGATGGCTAAAAGTAGGATGTGATGTGTAGATTATTAGGAAAAAAGTATGATGTGATAGGTAGGGTTTGAAAAAGTAAGGGGTAAAAGTGGTTTTTTAATAGAAATGGGTAGGAGATTGTGGGACACAATTTTTTTGAAAGGTGTAAATCTTTTTTTGACGGAGGGAGTATTATACATGCATGTGCATATGAAAGATAATACATTAACTCTTCTTAAATAACTTTGTTAGACATTTCATTTTTTGGAGATATAGTGGTATGCGAGGGAATGATTTATTCATTAATTTCTTTTATGAATCTTATTGTTTTACACTTTGACTAATTAAATTTATAAAATAGTAGAAGAAATTTTAAAAATTTAATTTAAAATTAAAAAAGTACTCCCAACAATTTTATTTTCCCATTCCCTTGAACTTTTTTTGAACGCCAACACATAAAGGACCACGAGCCGCTGGGTATGAACTTCTAGACGAGCAATCGTGTTAAACGGGCCACAGACCGTTGGGTACATAACCTGCTCCGATACCATAATAGAATTTGGAATGGGTATGGACAACTGGATTGGGTAATAAGACACTTGGGTCGAACCACATTAAAAGATTGAATCCAATCGATTAGTTAGTTCAACTCAAGCGCTTATATACCAATTATTTTGCTCTTGAACTTTCGATGTGGGATGACACAGACACTCTAACACACACACACACACACATTATATCGGTGGGGTTCTAGTGCCACTGGAGTACTGTGCCACTCCGGTGCCACTGGCATTTTGGGGCACCTCCGGTGCTCCGTTCGCAAAATTGACGGTTCCTACCCCCTCTAACCCACCCCTAAACCCCCCACCCTACCCCCGCCCCAACCCCGCCGTAAGCCCCCCACAAAATGCGTTCATAATCGCCACACATTTTGTGGGGGGCTTACGACGGGGTTGGGTTGGGGGTGCAGGGG